GAATTGTAGGTTTTTCATTCAGTGAATTTTATAACTAAGAATTATTACAAAATTCCTTGAAGAAAAAATTTAGTTGTGTAATAATACGAACTATTATTTCGCGCTTAATATGGAAGGTTCAGCCAAGGTCATGAGATGGCGTCCTATTGGCAGAGTAGAAGCACAAAGGAAGGAGAGTATTATAACTACGAATGCATATATAGAAGAAATAATTTTGTTTGATGATACTAAACATTTTGAGAGAGAGAGAAGAAAGGGATAATTGAACAGTGCTCCAACGCATTTGCCAACAACCATTGCACGTACGTGCAAAAATTTCAGATTTGCTTAATTTCACCTCAAAGTGATGCAATTGTCTAGAGCAATGCAGTGCTTAGAAACTCAAAACCTTTCCACTTAATTACAATATGCTACAAAACGCGGCTACTTTTGTATTAACCGTATGTGAATATTAGATAGTTATTTTCTGTTACCCTCAAGTTTTGTTTTCAGTACTTAGATCAATTTGCTCGACCACTCTACAATTGTAAGCAATTCTGCTGGGAAGCTTAAACCTGTGTGTAAATTTATTCATTTAGAGACCATACCGAGCATCAAAAGGAAAAGGAAAAATAATTTTACCAATGATATTTAATGTATTATTTACAATTTGGACTATATCATTATAAACAACTTATAACAAGTATTGCACCTGAGCTTCTAAGCCAGTGACCCCCATCTCGAGCCCTTCAGCAAAAGCTGAGATGGCCCCTTGTTTTGCTTCTGGACATTAATGAATCTTCAATCTGTGCACGTATTCTACAGTTGAGGGAAATATAGTTATTCAAATTATCGTTCTCCTTGTTTTCTCGACATAGTAGAAATATATTCCTTCACGACGGACATGATGAGGGATAATAAACCAAATCTATAGTTGATTTACCTATGAAAATAGATTTTATTTCATCGAAGCGTATATTTTTTTAACAATTCTTGCCAAAACTCGCATTTCTTTCTGTATACAAAATTCAACTTTTATGTGGTTTAGAAAAAAGATCTCAGAATTAAGAACATGTACACAGAATCCACTTCTCCCCGTTGCACGTCACACAGTTATTTACTGTTTTTGACGTAAAAGAAACAAATACATAACAACCTTCTTGTGATATATTGAAATTTTATTCATATATTATATTTAAATATTGGAGTAACATTCTGTGAAAATAAAATAGAAATTATTATAATGTGCGAAAATATTTAAACAATTGATAATTGTCCATTTCCATATTTATTATTTTATTGAATTCAAATCGCAATAATCATTTCGGAACTCAGGGTATTAGTATTGTAGATATAGTATTTTTACGAATGGTGTTCGTAGTTATGTCCTGTGTTCGTAGTTACGTTCCGAGCGCGCCGAACTACCCGCAGTCTCATCAGAACAAGCCGACTCAGAGCCAGCAGCATCCACAGCAGCACTACCCCAGTCAGCACTACCCCAGTCAACAATACCCCAGTCAACAATACCCCAGTCAGCACTACCCCAGTCAACAATATCCCAGTCAGCACTATCACAGTCAATACTACCCCGGTCAGCAGTACTCCAACTTCCAGTATCCGAGGTAAGGAGAAATAGTCACGCCCACTTTCTCATTTAATGTCTTTATCTTTTTGTATTTCTTATGAGTGCTTATAGGAAATTTATTATATTTATTATAACGGAAATTTATTATATTTATTTCCGTTTTAAAGTAGACGAATAAGTGCGTATTAA